GATTGTACCTATACAATTAATATATAAATGTATGAATTGTATTACCAAATAAATTTCATACATAAAGGTACATTTAGCAACACTCTTTGAAACCTCAAAAACCGGTGTATATGCATACCCACAAAACTGTTGTATTTATAATATTACGTATAAAATTATAATTTTGGCGCATATAAGGTGTACAAAGTGCTTCATTTATAAGAGTAACGATTACGAATTAATTTTACGAATGAAACCGCTTAAATTGTAGTAAATTTTTATTTTTAAATGATTCATCTGAAAAAGAACGAGAGATCACTGTTCGATCAATTCCAATAACTTTACCGAGAAATTCCGGAAAGAATCGACATCAATCTTGAATATTCTGTTTAATTTTCGTAAAGAAGAAGGGAATAAAGATTTTATTTTAAGATGCAACGTTGTTGATTGTTCCTGTTTTAATGCTATTGTCCCCAAATCAGTTGATGGAAACTATGTACAATTTTAATTTAAGTAAAAATTTAATAAGTTTTCTGCACACATATTAAAAAATCCTTTAATGATAGACTCCAGTATCGTAATTTTGGTTCCGTAATTATACTCGTAAGTACTATTAAAAATTCCTCAATTTTTTTTTTCCAACATTGTTCAAATTCTGATTAAAAACGAACCCTGTATAAAATAAAATTAATTTTCAGTTTTTAGTTTTCATCAATGTGCTTTCCTTTCTATTTCAGTTTTTCTTAACATCCTTGGTTTTTTTTTATATTTTTTTATTTTTTTGTTTTGCTACAACTATTACTTCCACTCCTCTTTGGCTCCTTTAACCGGATATGTTTGTTTTTAAATGTACATACTCTATATTTATGGATATTTTATACATGCAGTTTACAAAATGAATTCTTGCGGGAGGAAGTAATATTTTCAAGCATATTATCAGGATTCAAGGATTCAATATGAAATTTTTTTTTGGTATATGCACTTTTAGAAGAGAAAACAAAATAAAAACAGAAAACAGCAAAAAACTTGTAGCACGTTCTGTTTAATTGAAGTGGCGTTTCTGTTATTTGTATAAGTTTACTTCATACACACATACAGACATATTTTTTGCTTGTTATAATCGGTTCTTGCTATGTTAGTTGTAAAAAAAAAAGTAAAAATTGGATAGAGAGGGAAAATGAAAAAAAAAGTGGAAAGAAAATAAGTGATAAAATTCAAAATGACACAAGTTCAATGAAACTTTGAAGAAAATTTTTGGAAAGGGGTTTAGAAATTTTTATGCCTATTTTATTAAATTGAATCCGCCATTTATAAATTGTTTTTTTTTTTTTAAATATTACCATATTAAATTTTTAAAATCTTTAAATCTTCTAATAAATGTTTGTAAATGTAAATGAGGAAGAGTATTTGAAATCATGAATTTGGAGGCTATATTCTAATAAATGATGCATTTTGAGGCTATATTCTTTAAAATCTTCTATAGAATACAGGTTATGGAATGTTTTAAACAACATAAAATTAAGAGCGGAGCAAAAAATGGTCGTGTTCCGTTGAAAATATTAATGTAATACTTATAACTGCTTCAGAGTATTTTGTGCTTTAGTGCAATAGTAGCAGCTTTAGGCAAAATGAAGTAAAGTAGGAAGAAATGGATATATGAAACACTTATTTTTCATATAAAAATGTTAAGCCATATCAATCAGAATAAATGTGCGAAACTACTTTACTACAATACTCCTACAATGGCGTAATACGAAATTTTACACAACTAGAGAATAATTCATCTACGTTGTTATATATGCTAAACTGAAAATGTTTCAAAAGCAACTTGAACAGTTGAATGTGTCAAACTTCCAATTTGCTCTGCTCCTTGAATACACCTGCTATATACTTGAATACACCTGCTATACTTGATTACACCTGTAATACCCTTTAAATACCAAAGTTATTAACATTTATTTTAAAAATTTTCAATTCGATCATTCAATTTTCTAAGAAAATTTTTCAATAACCAATTATTTTAAAAAATTACAAGATGAATTTTATTGTACAATACAATATATTTATATAATTTCATGATTGTTGTACTTACATAAACGCACATACATGCAGTCTATACCATTATAACACGTACTAAATACTTAAATCATACCATGACACTTACGACACAATCCAAAATCTAATATACTCTTTTTATATACAAAATTACGAGTATATTGCTTATTCACTACAATTTTCAAAAATTAATTAAAATCCAATTTAATAAGATCCTTTTTTAAATAATATCTATCTTTTATATATAGAAATTTATATTGGTTATTAGTGTGAAAATCTTTAAAACCGCTAACATTCAATCTATATGTTGCTAATTATTCACTTGATTTAATATTTTTTTGGACCTTTATTTTATAAAATCCAATGTATAACATATTCTAATTTCAAAATCATAATATAATGTTAGTATATATTTTAGATCATCATATACATGCTTGCAGTATATTAATATATCAGTATTATACAAAATAGAACGCAGATATATAACATTTAATCAATGACTTTAAAATTTTCTAATTTTGAATTAATGAGACTTTGTGGGAATTGGTTTTTTTGGTAAAGTGAAGTTGATTGATATTAAAATTTTATAATGAATGGTTACTTTTGAAAATAAGAAAATATTTATAGCTATATATGAATGTAAAAAATGGTTTTGCGATAATAAGAGAAAAAGGATTGGAAAGGAAAGAAAATAGTTTGTTTTTTTACTTTAGAACAGGACAAAATATTAAATGGTTAATATAACATCAATGTGACTTAAAATTATTGTGAAAATTTTGGTTTTTAAATTGAATATATAGTGTTTACCAAGCGTAAAACTAAAGTAAATCAAATCTTGTGTGATAATTTCATTTTACACATAGTATTATGCAGTTGTATGACCAATTACAAAGTTAATTCGATAATGTGGAAAGATAGAAAATTTTTCATTACATTGAAAATTTTTCACGCTATAATGAGAACAAATATGGTTTGATAGTTTACTATTTAGCTTTGTTTTTGTTTTTTAACTTTGAATTTACTTAAAATGTATATTGTAGAAAATTACAATAATTTTAAAATGTACACACAAAAAAATTTTATGGTTAAGTTAACCATAATTTTAAAGAACCATACTATGATTAAGTTTTAACCATAAATTATGGTTGCTGTTATATACTTTTCGATGAAAATTAATTACATTATGGTTGTTTCAACCATAAATTATTATTAAATTTACCATATTTTAACCATATTATAGTTAAATTTAACCATAATATGGTTGTATTTAACTATATTATGGTTGCATTTAACCATATTATGGTTGCTGTTATATACAAATTTTAACCATAATATAGTTAAAAACAACCATAACATGGTTGTTGCAAAAATAAAAATAATTGGGTTTCAACCATATTAAGGTTGATACAAACATAAAAATATTTAAATTTTAACCATATTATAGTTAACTTAACTAAGATTTATGGTTAAGTTAACCAAATAAAGAAAATGTTTTTAAACATAATATGGTTAAAACAACTATGCAACATAGTTGTTGCAACCTTATTAATGTTGATTTTTTTAACCATAGTATGGTTACAAGAACCATGTAACATTATTGTTGCAACCTTATAAAAGTTTCATTTGGTAACCATAGTATGGTTAAAATAACTATGTAATATTATTAAAATTGTAACCCACTTAACAGGTACAGTATACAGCATTATTGAAAAACCTATTCTACTTTCATTGACATGCTGTATAACAATAGCACCTTGCTTATTATTACTCGCAACAGAAATTGATAAATTTTAGGGTGTTAAGTAAATTTTTTTTCACAAATTCTCCTCAAAAAACTTTAAAATTATTGTAAGTTTAATTGAACTCAAAAACTCATGCCTTACTTTTCTTTAAAAGTAATTTTCAAACTTTACTTAAATCAATCATGATTAATCTAATGCAAAATATCTAGAAATCTTTTTTTGTAAAAAAAAATTTTGTATTAAAAAGTAAAAATTGTTAATAATAACACAAAAAAATTTAGCTTCAAAATTTTATTACACAGAAAAATAATTTTTATAATATTCGCACAGTATTTATGACATATAATTGCGTATTACCTAATGTTTACAAAAACAAAATTCTATATTCCATATTTTACATATTTTTTACAAAAAATTATTCTTACAAGTTACTTTGATATATTTCATGTAAAATGTGATTAAGTACAACTATTTTTTGACCATTTGAAGTTTGGTTAATATACGATGTACGAGTTATGCAATTTACATTTACAGAAATTGTTTTGCGTATATTAGTGTTGTCAACAACATAAGCATAATAATGCATGTCAAAACATATCTCTTTCAGTAAAGATAAGCCTAAATACAATTTTTCGCCATATTTAAAGATATAATCTACAACAGCAAGTTGTGAGTTTGTTTCATAAATTACCATACCAACCTTCACAGGTAAATTATTATACCGAATAAATTTTGTCGAATAGACATTATCTTTCGCTGTAAATTTATATCGTTCAAAAACATCTTTATTAACTTTTCTTAACGCACTAATTTTCAAAGGAAAATTTTAAAGAATTCATTCCGAAAGCTAATATTTGCATGACTTGAAATTTTTTCTTTTGAACTAACTGAGGTGTCATTTGAAATCGTATTAGCAATATAAATTGCACTTTGATTTGAATCACAAATTGAGCTTAAGTCATTTTTAGAACAAATTGCATGGCTTTTTAAATTAACTTTGTAGTAGTAAATGTTATCATAAACTCGATTGCAGATAGTGCATGGAAAACGAATAGAATTTGCATGTTTTAACTTCAAATGATCAACAAATTGTACATCATTATCAAAATTTGAAATACATAAAAAGCATTTAAAATTCATTTTAAAAATTATAAAAGTTACATATATTATATTAATTCATTTAAATTTCGTTAAACTTATTAAAATAAAATTTAAATTTAATAGTAATTGTATGTATACAGTTTCTACACGTACCTATTTGTTCATTCTTATTAAGATTTTAATTTTTATTTTGTTGCAGGAATTCTAAATCTAAAGCTAAGGTCTTCAATACAGCATCATCCTTGTCATATTTAGTTGTAATTTTGTAAATGTAATTTTGAACAAAATACCAGATTCTCTTGCATTCGGGTGGATATTGTATGTTAAGTCCCATGAAAACACTGAAGCATGCAGTAACTGCTTCTAACGGATTTTTAAAACAATATTTGACATGTGACACTAAAACCCACGTCAAATCGATATTTTCTCCTATAAAAACTATTTTTGGCTGGATATTGACTTTAACTTTTCTGCATTGGTTGATATACTGCCTCTCTGCGTGATCTGCTTCTGGTATACTCTGAAATATACAAACATTTTTTTTTTATTTTTAAATATTAACAATTGGTTGCAGACACTTGTCTACTAAATTTTTATTTTCTCTATCTTAATTCCATTTTTTGTGCATTTTAATTTTTTAATTAACCCATGCACAGTTTAAATTTAAATCTGGACATCTCCGCTAATAGCTTTAAAATTTAAAAAAAATTGCATATGATTTGCGCAAAAATCATATATAAATTTTTATATTTTCCAAATTTTAAAACATTAAAATTTTTATTTACCTTATAATGTGCTATAAACGCTTCTTGAGCTTCAATTTTTGAAGGCCTGTACAATTTTGTTGACAACTTTCGCTTAATATTTGAAACTGGTATTACATATGGCAAAATCAGAAGAGCCCAACATTTTCTTTTACTATCTGTAACGGAAAGTAAATAACTCTCAAAATGTATGATAATAATACATATTTTAAAAATATTCTACCGTCTGTTTCATTCTCCAAAGCCTTTAATATTTCCTTAGTTTTCAAGTTCCTACTTAAATGGGCTTCATTAATTATAAGTTGAATATTTTTCTCAGTTATCTTTGGTACTATTTTGGTTCCATATCGTTTTTCAGCATCTAAAACCAACTTTATAAAAAATATTGTTTTATCTTTAAATGAAATCTGCTTTGAAAATTGCAAAGTTCTTACCAATTCATAGCCTGCTCCGCTCTTCAACACAGAAAACTTATCGATGTACTCTGAAGTTGGAGTATCCTTTTCTAATAGCATACATCGGTGATCAAATGTGATCTCCCATTTGCACCGCAACTCGTCCGAAATTGTTGACGCAGCTGAAATTTCCTCGACAATTTCCAGTATTGTCGATTGATCGTTATCTTAATTGGATATAAATAAAATTAACAAATTGAGTGAATTGAAATTAGAAATATATATATACATACCTAAGTTAAGGTGAATAGGTGAAACTAAAGTTGATTCAGTACAAGTAGATGAGAGACTCTTAGAGCGACTTCTGCGATGTATCAAACCTTTTTTAGCTAATTTGGTTTTTGCATTTGTATATGCATCATATAATTTACCAGAAGCCAAACGTCCAGTTGAATATTTTGTGTAGTAAGAATCTTTTGATTCGTTTGGAAATGCTTTCACAATATAAGAAGCCAATCTTTCAAAATCTTCTTTTCGTATACTATACAATAAAAAAAGTGTAAAATAACTAGTAGTTCAACATTTAACTGCATTCTGAATCTTAACACACTTCATATAAGGATCCACGTTTAAAAGATGATTGATAATACTTTTGCTTAAATTTATTCTGTCATACCGTCCTAATAATTGCTTCTCTTTGTATGATTGAATAATATCTTTGCACTCGAAATTAAGAAATAATTTAAAGTCCTTTGAGTGTTGGAAAAAAGATATATTTTGCTTAAATCCAATGATATTAAAAATAAAAAAATATTTGTACCTCTTCTGTAATCAAGGTATTAAACAAATTTTCGATTACATATGAAGGTTCTTGTACAGTCGATGCATTTACAACTGCAAGCTCGTTTAATATTTCTACTGAATTATTATCTGTTTCAAATGGAGAACCTGAAAAAACATAAGTAGTTTATATTTCATAAAAACATTCTATTAATTATACGAAATTGCGTGTTTTCTGTTCATTACTTTTAAATTAAAGTTGTAATTACTCAATTTAATTTTAAAAAGTTTTTTATGCAAAAATATTTTATATTTGTAGACAAAAACCGGTCAATTTTTAAATAAAATTAATATAAAAGAAGATAGCTTTCTAATGAATTTATGTTCAACAATGCTTATTTTATAGGATAACTGGCTTTTTTACAGTAAGTGCGTTATAATTCTATAAAATATTAAAAAACAATAATGAACAGAAAAAAAACAATTTTGTTTTCAAATAAAATTACACTTTTTAAGCAAGATTAAAAGTAAATTTAAATTTAAGTAAATTTAACGCGTTACATCAAAGCTTAAAATTTATTTCAGTTGGATGTGGTTAAATTTTTATATACATACGTAAAAAATTTAATTTTATGAATTTTTATTAGATAAAACCTTTTATTTGTAACACAAACGATGGAGATTCCATGTATTGATAAATATAATCTACGACATCCTCTGGATCAAGAACATCACCAACTTCACTTGTGTATATTGGATTCTCATTAAAATTAAATTTGATTTTTACAGCATCATTTAGTTCATCCAAATTTATATATTTTGACTTGTCCATAGTTAGTTTGACTGTTTTTTTCACATCTCCTCGTGCTACATTCAAAAAAACCTTTTTACACTGTTGTAATTAAAAAAATATATAATTAAGAATCAGTTTGCAATTCACGTATTATTTACAATTTATAAATTAGTACATAAATTTGTGAAATAATTTAAAAAGGAATTTTATTTTCTCTTAATGTTTTAGTCGAAATACTGAATTATTTTTACTACTATACAAACAAACACAACATATTACAATTCCACCACATTTAATTCATTACTATGTTCATAAAATTTGATTCATTATCATTCTTTAAAAGCTACATATTTTTATTTTATTATTATTAAAGATGTCATGGCTAATAAAGTCGAATCAAATCAATAAAGTAGCCTATTTATTTAAAATAAAAAAGTTTGTCGAAATACACTTTTAGCATACATTCACATTATACATTGTATGTAAAACAGAAAACTAATTTACAAAAGTACGTACAGTTATCCCTAGATTTACGTCGCTCTTTTATACTTGGTTTTGATATACGTTATCAAGATAATTGTTTCTCGAATTAAATTTACCGCTTAAATTTGAAATACACTGCAAATTTTTAATTTTTTTGTTTTGTAAGTTCTGTTAAGTTTTTTGTATACATGGTGTAAGGTTTTATTTTCATAAAAATGGAGTGATTTGAAAACGTCGTAAATTTAAAGATAACTGTATTTTTTTCAACACTGCTTCATAACACTTACCGCTACGTCCATAATGAAATTTTTATTTTCAGTAACTTGAAACTTCTATTTATTTTAAATAAAATTTAAGATTTTTTTTTAGAATTATAATGAATTTTAATTATTTCAATTTATTTTTATACACAAATTTGATTACTTGAGCAAATAAAACTTTATTAAATGATTCAATTTGTACTTTTAAATTTTATTTCACTGAAAACTACACTTGAATTTTAAATAATATACAATATATTCTTAATAGTCTTTTAAACAATTTTTCACTTTACAGAAATTCACTTAAAACTTTTTTAAAATTTTTACACTTTAAATACTTCTAATATGAACCTGTTACTTTGAATCGCGAACACTTACTGAATATTATTTATGCTTGTTAAATGAAATGTTACTAATACATACGCGCAAAACTCAAAAACAAAACATCACCATGTAAAAACAAGAAGGTTCCGTTAGGAATGTTAACCATACTATGGTTAAAACCAACCATACTATGGTTGAACCATAATATGGTTATTTTAACCATAGCATAGTTAATATTAACCATAACATGGTTAATTTCAAAATCACGTGTTTTTTATGCACACATATACTTAAAATGTACCACCATAAACTAGAGGGATTTATGAAACGAAAATAAAAAGTGCAATGATTTAAAAATTTTGGAAACTTTATCTTATGTTTTATGAAATTTTATACTTTTTTAAGATAAATTTTGCTAGTTATTACACAAAATCTGAAAATAGTATTTAAAAAGTTAAAATTAATTGTTTTTCAATAAAAATGTCAAAATTGCGATTTTCGCATAAGTTTTTTAAAGTTTTTTAATTTTTTAAACAATGCGGCATTTTTTTTGCAAATCGTAATGTATTTGCTATACAAAACGAGAGATTTCTTTTGTTTTGTAAAATCTAAGAAAAACAGAGAAATTTTCCGTTTCTGATTCTAAAACTCAATAAATACATACTTATATGATTTAAAAGAATTAAAAGAAAAACATCTCTTTTCTCTTAAATCTTTAAAAAGTCTACAAATTTTTTGCAAAACATAAAAAATTTAATATAACTTTGTAGTTAAGGCTAAACATAAACCTTTTTTCCTAACTTTCACAGAAATCTAAGAAAAATAATAAAATTTAAATGTTTTTCTTAAAAATGTTAAAAATTTAGGATTGTCGTTTAATGTCTACAAAAAATTTTACACTTTTTTGAATAATTCTGCTTTTATATAGCAAATCGTAATTAACTTATTATTTGACACACAAAACATGAGAATTCTTGTTATTTTTATGTAAAACCAAAGAAAGACTAAAAAATTTTATAGTTAATTATTCCAAACTTCAAAAAACATATGATTTTTAATGATAATTTAAAAAAAAAAGTTATTTACATCTCCAAAAAATTTACATAAGTATTTTGCTCTAAATGTTAAATAGAAAAATTTCGTAAACATAAAACAAAATTTATATTTCGAATTTGAGATGTCGAAAACCTATTCATGTACATCTTCAAAGTATTTACATATGTATTTCAGGCAATCATAAAAAACTGTTGACGCTTATTTAAAGGTCCCGTTAGGAATATCAACCATGTAAGTTTTGTGTTTTATATTTTTTTCTTTTTTTAAAGGAAAAATAAATAAAGAGTTATATTTTGTTTATGAATTTAAAACAACTTTATTTTATTTATTTGAATTTTTATTCTTATCTTTTTTATTTAAAATTCTCACAATTAAATTCTCACAATTTAAATTTATTATTTATTATTTATAATTCACAATTTTCTTATATGACAATTTTATTCAATTTGATTTTCTTATGATTTATTATTTTTAATTTAAAATTTATATGGCAATTTAATTCGATTTAATTTTCTTACAAAGATAACCTTTCTTTCTTTTACAGGTAATATATGACAATTACTATAATATATAAAATAACTGATGTTTTTACTTTTACGGCTAACGACTGATTAAAGCTTAATAATTATAAGAAACATCACATAGTAAGGTAGTTTAAATGAAATTTGTTAATTAAGCATTTTTACATAGCATGATTTTTACACGCGCAAAAGTATAACAGGTAAAAATGCTGATGTGATTATTTATTTTAGAATTTGAATTTAATTTAGTAGAAAGAATAAAAAAAAAAATATTTTAAAAGGAAAAAAAATTGTTTGTTTAAATTAAGTGGAAGTAACGGGTAGAATTACAACTTTATCCGGTTGTATAACTGAATATGTAACTTCCCCCTCCTTAAGATTGTTGTTCTCCTGGACAACATATTTATCTTTACTCTTTTTAAAACATTCTATGTGATCTTTCTTGATATACAAAAATATGCTTATCGTAATTATTAAAAAGATTGAAATAAAAGTTGTATTGAAATAAACTATTACTTTGTTTTTATTTTTTTCATAGGAAATTTGTTCAATTTTTTCTATGTTTTCTATTTGTTTCAAGTGAATAGCTTCTAAATTAATGGAAAAATTTAAATTATTTAATATTGAATAATTGGGTATTATAATGTTTTGGTTATATTCACTGATTTTATTTGAAAATTTTGAATTATTAATTTCGATAGTACAATTATTAAAAAATATAATATGATTTTTATTTAGAAAATAATTTATTTTATTACAATCATGAGTCAACTTTATATTATTTGCATTAGTAACTAGTACCATACCAACTTCAATTTCTATTATTTTTAGTTTACTTTCCTGAATTTTAAAACAATTTTTATATGAATTATGAATAAGATTTGCTAAACAATTTGATGTTGGTTTTAATTTATTAATGTATTTTTCTTCATTCAGATAATATGTTTTATTACGAAAGACTATGACGTCAGTTATATCTATTGAAACTTTTTCAAACTTTGAGTTAGGTATTGGAATTATTTTAAAATGGTTTGCTTTTTGTTTACTAATTTTGGGAATTTGAAGAATGAAAATTAATGAATTATTACGAATGGCAACTGCATTTTTTAGATTTTGAATTTTAGATAAATCAATTTCGTATTCATCGATTTCTTCAGGACTAAGTAGTGATCTTGCCATTGTTTGGTATTTTGCAAACATTATATTTTCCTGAATCTTTTCGATTTCTTCGTTTAGAAGATTTATATTGGTTAAAATTTGAAGATATTGTAATTGATTGACAACGTTTTTGTGGTCGACTGAAACATAGTTTGAAATTCTATCTATTATTATTTGATTTTGTTCGATATTGGTTTTAAGAGAATTGATATTTTCTTGAAATATCGAATTGATTTTTATCTGATTATTAACGTTGCCAGCTATATTATTATTATTTTGCTCTACAGTTCTTAAATGGTTTTCTAACTCAATTTTATCTTCTTGTTCTAATGTTCCAAAGATCCATTTGAGAAAGGATCCTCCAACATTAATTAAAGCCCTTTTAAATCTTAATGGTAAGATTGTTTTGAAGGAATGGTTAGTCTTGTTAATTTTATTTTTCAGCATATTATATAGGTTTTTATTAGAATTATTAACGAAAGGTAAAGTATTTATTTGGTTTTCTATTATATTTATTAATGTTTGGATTTCTGTTAAGTTAATTATATGAATTATTTTATCATAGCTTACAATTATATCGATGTTTTGATGTTGCGTTATAGTAAATCCAGCTTCGGTATCAATTTTATTTACGTCTATTATAGTTGAGTTACACGGGATTATCATTGATGTTAGTATTATTATTAGCGTTATTATTATTTTTTCCTGTAAATTTAAATTTTCTTTTAATGCGGGTCGGATGAATGTTATAATTTTTATTATCAAAGATTTTATTATTTTTATTAGTAATTTTAATTTTTTTATATTTAGGTAATTCCTTATATCGCACTATCGCGGGATTATTTATTAAAATTTCTCCGGTTTCGGGAGGTTTAAAATGTCTTTTATTTTTGTTTACTTTATTAATTATTTTTTCTTTATTATTTTGAATCTTATTTTTTATTTTTTCGAAATCGGTTACTTTCCCGTTAACAAAATCGATGGGTTTTCTTTGAGTTGCAGAATGGATTGTTTTATTATAAGCTTCTACGGCTTTAAGAACTTTACTTTCTGTGTCGAGATCAGGTTCCGTTAAATTTAGAATTCTAATATGTTCGGTTATGGTACCGTGAGCCCGTTCGATATCTGAGTTCCCGGTATGACTTCTTGGAGAAGTGAAGTGAATTGCGATATTTTCAACTCTACAGAAATCTTTTAAATTGATACTGTTAAATTCGTTATCAAATACGAATTTTTTGGGTTTACCGAATAGTGAGTTCCGTAATTTTAGTGTTTGAACTATTGTTACGCTGTTTCGATCAGGTAACTTTATCATAGAAAGGTGTTTTGACATTTTGTCTATAGCTGTTAGAAATACTTCCTTTTTTATATAAAAGGTATCAACATGGACGATCTCGTTAGGTTCAGACGGACTTTCGGATATTTCGAATTTATACTGAATTGGATTTCTGTCATACTTGGCTAAATTGCAAGCATCACAGTTATTTATATATTTGTATATAAAATCTTTAAGTTTCGGAATATAGTATTTATCTTTTAATTCGTTAAAATTTTCTAATATGCCACGATGGTTTGTATCTTCGTGGCCTTGCTTAATAATTTCAATGATTTCTTCTTCGCTATCAATTTCCTTGGCAAATTTGGTGCATTTAACAAATTTAATTTTTCTACAGTTACTAAATAATTCTATCAATTTTTCTTGCAATTTTGCATATTTACTTTCTTCTAATTCCGAAAATATGGCTGTAACGCCTGTTTTGATATAACGTCTTAATACATTATTTAAATAATTTTGATCTGATAAATCTTTTTCACTTATGAAAATTTTCCTATATCTATTATATTTAATCTCAATTTCTTTTGTTTTATTTTTTACTAAATGTATTTGTGTTAGATATTTATTAATAATGTTGTCTACAATCGGAATGTGGTCATCCAAATTTTCGATGCCACTATGAATTGTAGCCATTTCACTTTCTCTATCCAAATTTTTATTATTATCGATTTCCATAGCATTTATTTCATTTTTTTCATTATCTAATCTACTTAAAAAATCTGCTACCTTATT